TCCGGATACGTATGACAGAGTAAGTGATGGCCCGGATACGTATGACTGAGAGTAAGTAATGGTCCGGATACGTATGACTGAGAGTAAGTAATGGTCCGGATACAAATGACTGAGAGTAAGTAATGGTCTATATTTGGTAATTTGAATCAGAACGTCACAACTGATAATCTACTTTCTACATGTGAAGTAATTGACATCGTCATATTTTATAAAAATTTTTGATTTCGATAAATTTGTTACAATTTTGTAAAGTTCAGTATTGATCATTCCAGGTATACAGGTAATCTCATCACTGAGTAGATTGATCAGGGTGTGGAAAGATGCTTGTCGTGTATTGGAAAATGAACGGAATGGGAATGGAAAGTGTAGAAATGGAAAGTGTAGAAATGGATAGTGACTTGTCAGGGACTGGAAAATGACTGGTCTGAGGGAGAAAATTGTTTTGACAGGAAATGGAACGTTACTGGTTTGTGTGTGGAAAGTGATGGGGCTGGGAATCGAGAAGGACTGGTCTGAAAGTGGAAAGTGACTGTTTTAGTCATCACATTATGTCCCGTCTTTGTCGCAACGACTGGACATTTATCATGGACCAGTGATAAAGTAGTCATTATTGATAGGTTAGGGATCGATATCCATGATTGGTGTGCACACACTGTGGAGAGTAATTGGGGGGAAACTCACATACAGAGGAATAGGCGTAAACATATGTTACAAGTGATTCCATGCGGATAATGTTCAATCGATACAAAATAACGATGACATACAAACTATGTGTTCCGTTATCATTACATGTAGTTGTATATGTGTTCCGTTATCACTACATGTAGTTGTATATGTGTTCCGTTATCACTACCTGTACTTGTACATGTGTTCCGTTATCACTACATGTAGTTGTATATGTCCGTTATCACTACATGTAGTGGTATATGTGTTCCGTTATCACTACATGTAGTTGTATATGTGTTCTGTTATCACTACATGTAGTTGTACATGTGTTCCCTTATCACTACATGTAGTTGTATGTGTTTCGTTATCACTACATGTATATGTGTTCCGTTATCACTATATGTAGTTGTACATGTGTTCCGTTATCACTACATGTATATGTGTTCCGTTATCACTACATGTAGTTGTATGTGTTCCGCTATCACTACATGTACTTGTACATGTGTTCCGTTATCACTACATGTAGTTTTATATGTCCGTTATCACTACATGTAGTTGTATATGTCCGTTATCACTACATGTAGTGGTATATGTGTTCCGTTATCACTACATGTAGTTGTATATGTATTCTGTTATCACTACATGTAGTTGTACATGTGTTCCCTTATCACTACATGTAGTTGTATATGTTTCGTTATCACTACATGTATATGTGTTCCGTTATCACTATATGTAGTTGTACATGTGTTCCGTTATCACTACATGTATATGTGTTCCGTTATCACTACATGTAGTTGTATGTGTTCCGCTATCACTACATGTATATGTGTTCCGTTATCACTACATGTAGTTGTACATGTGTTCCGTTATCACTACATGTAGTTGTATGTGTTCCGTTATCACTACATGTAGTTGTACATGTGTTCCGTTATCACTACATGTAGTTGTATGTGTTCCGTTATCACTACATGTAGTTGTACATGTGTTCCGTTATCACTACATGTAGTTGTATGTGTTCCGTTATCACTACATGTAGTTGTACATGTATTCCGTTATCAGTACATGTAGTTGTACATGTGTTCCGTTATCACGACATGTACATGTGTTCCGTTATCACTACATGTACATGTGTTCCCCGACTTGTTTCCAGTGACATAGAGTGCATGGAGTTTTTCTTTATCGTATAACCGACCTCTTATCCAGTGAAGCTGATCATGTAATGGTTTGATGTATATGTCACTCGCTAAGTCTCCAAATAAAAACTTCTAGGAAAAATCGTTTCTTGAAATCAAAGCATTAGATCTCGTGATATACAGCATCAATCTGTAGTTATAACAGACATGTAGTTGTATGTGTTGTGATATACATGTAGTTGCACCAATCTGTAGTTATAAGAGACACAGACTTAGATCTCGTGATATACAGCATCAATCTGTAGTTATAACAGACAAAGATTAGATACATGTGATATGCACCAATGTGTAGTTATAACAGACAAAGACTTGATCTCGTGATATACAGCACCAATCTGTAGTTATGTGTTCACAGACTTGTTTCCAGTGATATACAGTACCAAGTTTTTCTGTAGTTATAACCGACCTCGTGATATCCAGTGAACTGATCATGTAATGGTTTGATCTATATGTCACTCGCTAAGTCTCCAAATAAAAACTTCTAGGAAAAATCGTTTCTTGAAATCAAAGCATTAGATCTCGTGATATACAGCATCAATCTGTAGTTATAACAGACACAGACTTAGATCTTGTGATATACAGCACCAATCTGTAGTTATAACAGACAAAGACTTAGATCTTGTGATATACAGCACCAATCTGTAGTTATAACAGACACAGACTTAGATCTTGTGATATACAGCATCAATCTGTAGTTATAACAGACACAGACTTAGATCTTGTGATATACAGCATCAATCTGTAGTTATAACAGACACAGACTTAGATCTTGTGATATACAGCACCAATCTGTAGTTATAACAGACAAAGACTTAGATCTCGTGATATACAGCACCAATCTGTAGTTATAACAGACACAGACTTAGATCTCGTGATATACAGCACCAATCTGTAGTTATAACAGACAAAGACTTAGATCTCGTGATATACAGCACCAATCTGTAGTTATAACAGACAAAGACTTAGATCTCGTGATATACAGCACCAATCTGTAGTTATAACAGACACAGACTTAGATCTCGTGATATACAGCACCAATCTGTAGTTATATCAGACAAAGACTTAGATCTCGTGATATACAGCACCAATCTGTAGTTATAACAGACACAGACTTAGATCTTGTGATATACAGCACCAATCTGTAGTTATAACAGACAAAGACTTAGATCTCGTGATATACAGCACCAATCTGTAGTTATAAGAGACAAAGACTTAGATCCCGTGATATACAGCACCAATCTGTAGTTATAACAGACACAGACTTAGATCTCGTGATATACAGCACCAATCTGTAGTTATAACAGACAAAGACTTAGATCCCGTGATATACAGCACCAATCTGTAGTTATAACAGACAAAGACTTAGATCTTGTGATATACAGCACCAATCTGTAGTTATAACAGACAAAAACTTAGATCTTGTGATATACAGCACCAATCTGTAGTTATAACAGACAAAAACTTAGATCTTGTGATATACAGCACCAATCTGTAGTTATAACAGACACAGACTTAGATCCCGTGATATACAGCACCAATCTGTAGTTATAACAGACACAGACTTAGATCTAGTGATATACAGCACCAATCTGTAGTTATAACAGACACAGACTTAGATCTCGTGATATACAACACCAATCTGTAGTTATAACAGACAAAGACTTAGATCTTGTGATATACAGCACAAATCTGTAGTTATAACAGACAAAGTCTTAGATCTTGTGATATACAGCACCAATCTGTAGTTATAACAGACAAAGACTTAGATCTCGTGATGTACAACACCAATCTGTAGTTATAACAGACAAAGACTTAGATCTTGTGATATACAGCACCAATCTGTAGTTATAACAGACACAGACTTAGATCTCGTGATATACAGCACCGTGTCAAAACTATGTCCCTCTCGCTCTCTAAATATGTCTTTCTTCTCGACTTGCACCCATCGCTGCTCATCGTGTTGTGATGTAAAAAGATCGAAATAGGAGACGTTAAGATTAAAAGTTAAAACGACATTAAAGTTAGGAGTATGGCCTCCGAAATATACAGATTGTCAACAGAGATTTGTTGGATTTCGATCATATGACGTGTGAGAAAAATGGAACTTGTTTAAGATACAATGTTGAATTAACTTTCAAAAATGTCTTGGTGTATCAGAAAACATTTTGGGTCACAAAAAGTACTAACAAAGCCTTGGTACAATATTCCAAGAGGATAACAGCGTATGTCACGATCCAGATTGCATGAAACGTGGACAGCAGCAAACTTTATGTCCTACGATGACCTTGTCTTGAATAAATCCAATGGAAATTTATATTGATGATAAAATGGAAACTTGAAATGCTGAAAATCATTACGTTTTTGCTACGTTATATCTAGAAAATGTGTTTTTATCACACCAAATCATCATTAGGAATCAAGTACAATAGATAACAAGAATTACCAAGATGTTACTTAATCAGAGTTCAAGCTAAAATCTAGCACCTTTTGTAGGATAACACCTATTTTTTTTGTTTTTTCTTTTGTCGTCAACATACATTTTTCGATACCATGCCTTGTCATGATTTTCCTACAGATTCTATAATATCAAATAAATCGTAATGTTGGCAGTAAGCCCTTGGTAATCGCAGTAATAGCGATATATCAACACTATAGGCAGTAGCTGTTACTGTCTTGAAATGGTAATTTCACGACAAAACTGCCTTAATTTCGTTGCTTTGATCATACTTTTAAGTGATCTTTGATACGTGATCTGAAAAATTCTGAGAAGCTATACACACGTGGGGAAGATTTGTATTTTCAGTATATGAACGTTGACTCTATATATGGTTGTTGCCAAGCATCTTACTTTTGGAGTGTGACATTACGTGGATATGATCAGGATCTTGAACGCTAACCCTTCCAGAATAGCTGGTTCTGGCCATTTTTTTTTTATTTTTATCATAATTTTTGTTTACTTTTGTTCATATTTTGTCGTTACCATGATTTTCATATTTAATTTCAATGTTTTATAAAATGTGAAAGCAAAAATACCTGGACATAACTTCAACTCTGATTATTTTATCTTCGACGCTTAATTATCCGAATTTGAAGACATAGATTGTACATCAAAGAGATCTAACATACAGGTAATTTTCTCACCGTCGTCGTCCTCAAGGTCCGTGTCGTAGTCATCACTAGTCGGAGAGGCTTTTCCTACTTTGTTCTCCTCTTCACTCACGTTACCGTCACCTTCGCTATCTTTGTTTAGCGTATCCTCTTTGTTATCTTTGCTGGTCTTTGACCTCACATTGGCAACTGAACGAACGGCGCTCTTCCGGCCCTTAATCAAACCATACTCCCTGTCAGATAGTATAAAACTGCGCTCGCTACTCTCCTCCGCCGAGCTGAGCAGATCTTCCAAACTCTGGTACTGCCGGTCCACCGTCAGTATATTCTCCATGTGGTAGGAATGTCTAGAGAATCCTACACAGAAAAAAACAACAGACTTTCATTGAGGAAGGTTATAAAATCTCAAAGCTTTTTGTCTTTATCTAACACTGACGTATGCAAGACCTGTAAATGATGTGCTTAGGAGAAAAAACACAAATTAAAATGGAATTTGATGTAAATGTTGAAGTTTTACCTTACGACCATTTTGAGGGAGATTGAATGTACTTTGATCGGGTGGTTTTCCTTCTTATTTTGTAAATAATTTGGTTATTTCCTTTGGAAAAATCATCAGGAGTAATTCGGCAACAATGGCTTCACTGAGATGTCTTTAGTAACAATAGACAATGGTTATGACTTCGTCACTGTCCTATCTTTATTACCCAAACACAAGGGTCGAGATTTCTTTACTGTCCTATCTTAAGTAACAGTAGAAAATGATAGCGACTTTGTCACTGTCTTATCTTTATCAACCAAAATCAAGTTTTGAGAGAAGTAAGTCCATGGAATTTATATATAGGAGGGATGATTGAAAAGTTGTGAGTCTGCTATTTCAGGGTTTGACTTTTAGCGGACATATTGCGTTATTTTTCGACATAATCCCCTTCAATATCTATAAATTTTTGCCTCAATGCCACTTTTAAGGAAGTCCTTTTCTTGACCGGTCAGAAAGTCCTCTACTGCATGTATGACGTAATTATCTGACCGAAAGTGGGTACCGGAAATGACCTTTTTCATTTTTGGAAGTAGATGAAAGTCTGGTGGAGCGAGATGAGGCGAATATTCGGATACTCAATCAATTCAAAGCCACAATCGTTATAACCGACAAAATCTGCCTGATGTGATTCTGATCAGTTGTCAGATGTCTTGGTACCCAACTGTCTGAGAGTTTTCTCATTGCAAGATTTCCTGTGAAATACCAAATGTAGTGGCTATATATCTTTCTGTAACTCGCCTGTAAGCCATAACAATACCATAGACTTTATTGACCATTTCTGGGGTTGCAGCAGTGACAGACCTTCCAGGACGGGCGTCATCCCAAAGGCTCTACCTGCCACGCTGAAATACCATTCACCAATCTTTACTCTGTAGCATATGAAGGGTCATCATACCCTAGTGTTGCTTCCATATCAGGATGGATATCATTAGGTGCTAGGCCTTTCTTATGCAAATACGGGATCACTGCTCTTTCAGCGATTTTGTCCATTTTGCAAAAGTCAATTGCCTTGTTTACGTTAGAGTGTTATCTCTTCGAAATAAACTGACTAAATGACACCAGTCTTTGGGTGCACAGCTTTAAATAGTCAAGAAAGAGTAGAGATTAAAAAAAGAAGGAAATCCCTGATTAACTTCGTCACTACAAGGCTCACAACTTATCAATCAGCCCTCGCATTTCCGTATAATTTAATTTTTATTGAGCTATATGTATCTTGTGTGCCTTCGTGACCTGGCGATCAATTACACAGGTTCTGTGTGTTAATCAATTCATTATGTATAGATAAAACGTACACAACAAAAAAACAAATACACAAATAAAAATTAAAAAAAAGACAAGAGCACTGTCAGTACAAACTTCATCATACAGCTGTGGCACCTTCTACGGCTCGTCAGTGATGCTAAGGTCCCAAGTATTGAAACGAAGATGATGACTGACGAATAAAAAAACACATATCTGGCGGGAAGAGAGGAGGCTGTTCTAGCTCTAAATAGATATTCAATCATTTTCATTTTAATAATGAATTTTATCATAAGAAGGCTAGACCTGTGTGTCTATTCGAACAGATTATAACGTGACATGGATGTTACGCTAAACCTCGGGAATTAGCACCACAGTAAGATATTCTGAAATAAATAATAGTGTACATGGTTAACATTCTAAATAACAAAAAAACCCTGATGTGATGTGTGTCTGTACGATAAAAATATTTGGTTGTCTCCAGTATATTCGTTTCATTCATATACACACTGGTGTCATGAAAATATTCTCGACCATCACAATAAAATATATTGCTTACCTCAATAAAGAATTTGTTTCATATTCGTAGTTTGCTTACTGTTTTCTTCAGGTAAGTAAAATTCCAACTCTTGGAGGCTTTTTTCTATTCCTCACCAGACTTCACCTGTTGGTAACTACGGGCAACCTGACATTGTATTTAGCGTAACTCAAGAATCGATGACTTTCTGGGGGAGACTTGCCTGACCGTCGACTTGTTCTCTTGGGGGCTGTCAAGGAACCATGCAAGTTTCGCAACTACACATAGGTCTACCAATCGCCAAGAACGCTACAGGTAATTACCGACTTCTCTAGAGCCAGGTAAATTATTTACAAATTCCATGATTAAATGTGCTTCTGATGATACATTGACCCTAGGCTCAGAAGGTATATTCATTGGAACTAGAACCTAGTCTTCACACCTTTGGTATATACCTGTATATGTACAACAGATGTCGGAGTATCGGCCCGCCCAGAGTTAGTATTTGGACGAATAATTTTCTACATGTGTTTACAGGTCAATGATATAGATAGAAATACAATCAGCGGGTACAAACCTTCAACAGGTACATATACACTGTAAACTAGTCACTTAATATCTCTACTCCGTTTATTAAATAATCGTTTATAGTTTTATCATGAATAAAGTTAATATATCCAATGAATAAAGGGTTTACAAAATCCTAATTGTGAATAGATAATAATGGATAATTTTAAACTCTATGAATATATTTGATTGATTTCGAGTCATGTATTACCAATTTGTCACAACCTGTGATGTTTCGGTGCCTGATTCACTGCAGTCCCCACAGTCATGTGATTATAATTGTAAAAACGTGTCACACCTCCAATCAATTAACACCAATCATTAACCAAATTAAAATCTTATATTGATAGATTTTACTTTTTATAATAAGTTTGGTGACATTTATTTAAGTTTTGTCGCGTGTTATTCCGTAAACCAATTTTATCGTCATTGTCTCGACTGGTTTTCATCGCCTCTGCTTTAATGGAACTTTTCATAAATAAAATTTCTCGTTTGCAGTGTAAGTTAAATAAAACAATTTTACCTACGGGTGTACAGCTGTGATAGTGCGTGATCGACAATCGACGGAGAAGTTTAAAACATTCAGAACATGAAGACATCGACTAGTTGTCTTGTTTGAAAAAAAATAGCACAGGGAAGATGTACGGCGAGGTATGTTGATTATGCATAAAAATCAAAATGTAGGATACTTAAAATGTTTCCAAGTGATGAACATAACTATTTTGAATGAAAAGACGTTCTTATGGTTTCCACACTATAATTGCTACTTCTGCTCTTGGTCTACATAAAGTTTGAAATGCTTGGATGTATACCAATGTATAGTGTATCTTACGCCATGTCATACAAGCGGGAAAATGTGACCTGTGGTGGATGTAGAGGTAACATTGGGACCACGTATGTAAAAAAGGTAGATAACTCCAGCACAGTACACCAGGATGTGGTGATGTCCATTCTGTTAGATGTTTTGTTAGGTATAAATCCGTTCAAGAAGGTCATGATAAAGATAGACGTGATTTCCATTTTCTGTACCTGTATTGATGTGTACTGACGTTGTGTTACGTACAATTTGCTTGTTGCGATTTAATTATCAGAGATCACCAAACAGTATGTAGTTAAACTGATGTAAATACACGTCGGTGCGGATACAAAAAATAAATACAAATCCTATAATTTACCTGTGATAATCACAGATTTTAATCTAAAACAAATTACATTATAGACGTCATTAGAACAGCTGCACGTGCCACTGAACAGCGGTGGTATACCCGGAGTAATTGGTGTTATCATCGACAACGTGAACAGACACAAAGCATGTTTAAAAACATATGCTATATTGATGTTTTTTATTTACTCTTTGCGCATATAAATATATCACACAACATTACTTTTTGACGTCTTTCTTGTCTCTTCACATTTAAACCACATTTATATGAATTTACAACAGGTATAAGTAAGACATGAATGTTTACTGTTCCGTAATCGCCTCATGAAATATGAATATTGGGGTGTGTATATTACTCGGATGTATGCTATTTTATTGAATTTTAAAATGTATAATGTATTACGATGAGTCACATCCCTAAGAAATAGTCCTGTACCGTACCACCGTTGTTTATTAAATTTAACTAATTGAACCATGTTCTTTTTCAAACAACTTATTTTTCCAAGCTCTAAATCGTTGAGTACTTTAGGTACTTAATTGGTCCCTCAATGTCAATCGTTCGGTAATCGAATATACATATGTATTGTTGTATTATTAAAAAATATCTTTGTTAAAAGTATCAAACAGTATAACGACTACAATATTGTATTTAGCCTATGAATGGTCTTCAGATTGTAGTTATTGTCATTATGAACGTAATCTGGGTGACCGATAAAACGAATGGTGTCCGCTAGGACGATGACGTCATAACTGCATTCATATCGAAAATAAATGCAACTGGATAACATTTCTATAGTTATAATAAATTTCAGATATTATTTCAAAAGATAACAGTATGTAATTTATAAAAGTATAAAGATATGTTTCTCTGTTTATTTAAGAGAGACGCTTCGTGAAAATATGAATCGCCTACATGATTAGTGTACATTGTGATTGGTGGTACAGTATCTGAGGCGACGTAAACAGGTGACGTAACGTTAGTCAACAAGACGCCAAAATGACATCATATCCTTGTACAGATCTTACTCAAGTGACTATCATGTAAATACAATCCAGGTGGATTATTGGGAGATCATGATACAAAAAGGCAATATTGTTTCTTTAACAATTGACAGATTTTGGCGGTGTTATTTGATAGTTTCTGTTGTTTCATATTTGATTTCAAAACGTCATGACGTCACATATTGTGACGTAACATTTCTAATAATGAATTATGTTAATGGTTCAATACGTTGTATCACATTAGAAACGAAAATAAGAAACTGAACCAACGTATTCATATCGATTTATCACACTGACTAGGAAGCCGAA